AAAAGGAAACTATAATCCGTTTCGTTATAAATACTATGTAGTACTTGAAAAGTAATAAATAAACAAACATTTATTATTTACACATATATATTCACAGAAAATCTGTATTTAAACACCGAAATTAGAATAGGAGTTTATGATTTTATATTGAGGTCTTTTAAATTATTAACCTTTACCGCAGCAAGATGATAGACTTGTTGTTTTGCTTAAATGAAGAAAGCCGAATTTGCAGTTATCATGGAGTCTAAGCAAATTAAAATATTGTCATTTTTAGATAAAAAAAAATGTACATAATTAAGCAATAATAATTTTGCATAGACAAAGTAACAAATAATTTGCTAGTTTGAAATAAAGTCAAAATTGCTGCGAAGAATATGCTTGTGGTAATTTCTAAGAGAGAAAAGCACAACTGCTCTTGAGTCACTGAAATAAATCGACGCCCTGGAAAAACGAGTGATAATATTAAGTAACTGTACCATATCTCAAGGAACACATTCACAACGGATTTTATTCCAACAGTAAATATTAAAATTACATCACTTTTTTCTAGATAGAAAAAGTGATTAAACTTATGTCATTCTCACTTCTCAAGATAACAAGGTCATAACTTTATAGGTATTTCACATCTGCCACGCCCTTTTTTATAGCCTAGAAATGACAGTCGAACGCACGCTCAGATCGAGAGCACTTACTTTTACACGTCATAACGATACGTACTACCACCTAAAAATACCTACAAAATTAGAAAATACAAGATTTTTTAAGAATTACATGTATTTTTCTTGAAAATTGAAATGTCTATTCCACGATACTGTCGTTAGAAGTTAATTCCACAATGTGGTCATATGTGGAAAAAAATATACTTGAAAATAGAACGACCGAAAAAAGGATATGATTTCTTGTATCAAAATCTAACGTAGTAATAAAACGTAGTAGCAATATTTTCCAAGTCCACTTGTTGTAAGCAATATACTGAGTAATGTAGCGTGTGACGGCTTTAAAATGGACGACAATAAAAAAGGGATAAAAGGCATGGCGCACATGTAATATCGCCAACCGCAAACAACCCGCCAGCGTCTCTCCTAAGCGATTTTTCATGAGCTATGCTGCGTTAATGTGTACAAACGCTCTTGGCTTCGGCGGCATACTTTGCTTCTTCACAGGAAATAAATTATACCGAGTACCGTACCGCGGGCGGGTTGCGTCGCATTATACAAAATTTACCCAGAGATAAGTAGCTGCCTAATATTTTTTATTTATTTACATTTGTAATGAACTACGTCATCCTCTTAGAATTCAGTAGTATTTTTAATACTGTTTATTGTAAGCAGTCATCCCTTGTATGAGTTGAAATTATAAATACACAATGACATCAGTCATTGCTCCTGACTATTCTTGTCGAGTGACAAGCCAACTTAAGACTTGGGGTATCTTTTAAAATTTGACAATGTGGTTGATTAACAATTCACAGAACTGCACTGAGTTTAAAGTCAATTTGAAATGAAATTTAGGAGGGACTCCCGAAATTTCATCGAAAATTTTCCGGTCTGTTGTGACTACTAAAAACCAATGATCCAATAAAAAAAGGAAAGCTACAACAATATAAACTGTACTCATACAAAGGTAAACCTCAGGTATTCCATTTTATTTTTATTGTAGTAAATTGCCCAACATATTTTTAAGTTTCAGTTTTCATATAAATTGTACTATAACTTGTTGTATAATGCATATCATATATTTTATTTAAATACCTGTGTATACGAATATAATAATATTATCTACATTAAAATATTTTTTATTAATAATATTTTTCAAAATCATTTCATTACTTTGAATATTTGTCTATAAAATAGGTAATAATCGAAAAATACCATCAGTAACTCCACTATTACGACTTTTGAAAGAAAAAAAACCCTATTGATAATTAGTGCAGTAAATGCGTCGCCAACAAATAGCTATGCTTGTCTCACTTCGCAATAAACTTAAAAAAAGAAAAAATATACGAAAGAAGAAGAAAGAAATAATGAAGAGAAAGCAAACCATTCGTTATAAAGCAACGAAGGCTTACTTTTTTTCATTCTTTTCTATCAAAGATGTGTCTGTACTCGTTAAGGTATTCGTATTATTGTTATTATTAATTGGGTTGGCTACCATTGTTTTCAAGTTTAAGTTTATTCAAATCGATGTTTTTTCGTAGAGCAAAATATATTTGTTCTAACTAGAACTTTTTTATGTTTCTCTGTTCATAAGTAATTACTTACGTAAGTACTTCTTAACTACAATAATACTTATGTAAACGATTTATTTTCACGAGAATCGGCTATTCGCCCAGACTCCAGACTAATGCGCGATGTTATTATAATTATAGGTACAACCTTGTACAAAGTCATCTGTCTGGGTCCTTATGGCTGTTAGATGCATACAAATACGCTAACCTACGTCGACAAGAAAATGCATTTGATAGAGGAGAATAGCAGTGAAAAAGAAAGTAATAATAATGTTCAACGTTTATCTAATTACCTTCTATTTTGGATTATTGATAATCAATACCTCATTGTTCATATTTCTATTTATTGGTTTAAGAAAAACAGACAGCTATAACAACACACATGATAATTACACAAATAATGATTTATCAACCAATAACCATGAAAAGAAACAATACTATAGAAAACTACAGCAACATTATCAAAAATCATTATCAAAGCTCAAAAATTAACAAAGCCATCCCGCATCGTACCATTTGAAAATATCATCAATAACTCTATTTCTGTCATTGATAGACAATCAGCTGAGGTTACATAAAGATAGTACTGAAATAGTAATCTAAGATTCGAGTCTACTCACTGAAACTGAGTAGAGACGTTGCATCTCATCAGTTGCAGTGTTCTCAGAAATTGTTCGGTTTTTACACCTGCTGCTAAATTTTACCATCATACAACCCGTTTTTCAAAGCAGTTTCTTCTACACAGACCACGATATAGAATTAACTCCCAGTGTCGGATTTTTTCCGAGATTCGGTATTTCTGAACCGATACGACCTTATAACCTTCAAGAAAGAATCATATTGCTTTTTATAAGGCTGACAATATACTTGCAATTCCTCTAGTGTTGCCGGTGCTTGTGGGCTATTGTAATTATTTACCATCAGGTGAGCCACATGCTAGTTTGCTCCGGAATTATAAAATAATAATAATAATTTATTGTAAGAATAAGTCTACACGCCAAATCCCTTATGGTAGAGGGGAGAAGGGATTGTTAGTAATGAGGATTACCAATCCATTCTTAGCAATAAGCACTATCAGGTTGATCTTCTCGTGATTCCCTTTTGAAACCATCGTGATTGATTAATCGTTGAATTCGTCACGATGGGCTAAGTAACCTGCTTCATCCTTACCTGTCATACCTCATTGGTGCCCTGCCAGTATATACCGGCAACGCAGACGGGGTTACCATTCCATTATCATCCATTAAAAAGTATCTTAAGACATAGACAGAGGATCTAAATCCCAAATGCCTCCCTTTCTACATATCTTTAGCTATTATTACGTCCTCTTTCATAATTCGTGGATACTAGACTTCGACTCCTACTACGTCAGCATATTGGAAAAAATAAAGAGAAAAAATGAATATCATTCATGTGTATGCACTGAGAAACCGGTAAATCGTATCTGCATGTCAAGTATTTACTGTGTGAATTAAGGTATATTTAGGTATATATTAAGGTATATTTGTGTTATTTTAAAATACAATTTATTTGTGTACAGTATTAAACATTCAAATCCGTCCAGTTGTTGTGATTGAGTAGCAAACATCTAAACTATATCTGAATACCTTTAAAACTAACATCGTATAAGTGAATAATAATAAGTAACGAATATCTTTACAAATTTTCTTATTTATAATATAAATAATATTGCTTAATTTGTATTTATTAAGGTGACGCTGAAATACGTAAATAAATCAACAAACGTAAACCTAAACCAGATAAGATAAGGCCTACATATACATTGTTATACAAGTACATACCTGCTTATATATAAATTAATGCTGCAATAAACAACATTTTCTAAAAGATAAAAAGACATTATTCTCTTCTATTTAATAATATAATTTAAAATAATAATATTATTTTTATTATTTAACTACATTATTTTGTAATTATGTTACCACATACAAGTACCTAATTGAAGTTTTTAATTTTAATTGAAACTATTATTTGAATTTTTTTTTATACCACTGAGGTGGCAAACAAGCATACGACCCACCTGATGGTAAGCGGTTACCGTAGCCTATGGACGCCTGCAATATCAGAGGTATTGATTTTTCTTCAATAAATTATTGGACACTTGAAATTATTTGGTATTTATCTATTATTATTCCTAAGGGAGCGAATTGGGAAACTGTTAAGCTTCCTTAACGTGTAAATATAATAATAATAAATAATAAAATATTATTTATATTTTTCTGATACATTCTATTTAATTTAAAATAGAGATTAACTAGATACATATACAAAATCAGGTAGATTGATAATTTTGCTATCATAATAAAAATATTCTATTTACAACTAAGTAAGTAGTCCTAGATATATCTCATTTTTCTCACATTTTAGTCAACTTACAGAAATATCTAGTTATGAAGAAATTAATACATTTCCCAAATGTATACAATATATATTTAATTATCCTTTAGCTTACAACAAACATCACAAAAGAATACAATACGAAAAAATAATGTAACGAAAATAACATAACGTCTTATACATAAATTGGAACAACATATGACCCAAAGGCCACTTTAAGGAAAGGACAGAATGTCGACAGCTGCTCGTATTTTCCTTTGGCCTCAAGGTCTCTTGAGCGAATCATGACTTTTAATTGACTATTCAAACAATATTCAAAAACCGCGTAAGTACTTTATAGAATAGATTTTTACCCTATATACACACGAGAACAAGTTTTTTCCGGTTAGTCATACATAGAGGTAAACAAGTTTTAACTCGCGTGTGACGAAGTAAGCAGTCCAGTCAGTTGCCGTTCATTGTTCCGTGAGCATTATACACAATACGATATACGCAATAAAGTTACTTGTAAAAATGAAAACCGACGCAGTGCTCCTTATTTGCTTTTTGTCGTTAATTTGTATTATAGAATGCAAAGATCTTATAGTGGGTACAAGTTACAACAATAGACTTATCTGGCAACAGAAGGTCGAGTACAATGCTATTCCACTTAAGAAGAGGGTCAAGGAAGAATTCTATTCCGATGCCGGACAACAAATTATAAAGGTAAACTAAAATTAAATTTCTTGCGTTTTTATTGATAGATATAATTTTACTGTTAAATGGAAATTTGCTTATCATTATTTAAAAATAATAAAATACGAAAAGTACCTAATATGAGAACAATAAATAAATTGATAATTTGAGTTCTTTATTTAATAAAAATTCAGGAGACACCTAGTGTCGAATAATAATGTACAATAATACCGGTTAGATGAGAGTTGAACCCATACACCAAGGATTTCGTATAAAATATATATTATTTGTAACATATATTATTATGTTACTATCAGAATTGTCAAATTAAGATTGCGTTTTGGTTTTATTATTAATTACCACATGCATCTTTATTGTGTAATGTTTGAATACTGTAACTGTTATGTAGTATGAAATTATTTCCATATACCTATAACATGAGTCCCTTGAGTAACATTATGCTTACTAAAATGTCCAGATAAAGAGTGGCGTAGTGGGTCGAATTATTGAGTTCCCTAAAATATAGTTGAGCGCAATGATGGCTGGCTCATCCATTATACTGGTGAACGTGTGCTTTCTGTAGGGACTACTCTTCTCTGTTTACTGCGACCGATTTATTTTATTAATGTTTTCAAATTATATCTTAAATTATATCTTAATGACCTGATACTACTTAGTAGTTTGTGTTAACACAAATTTATAATTTATATAATTCAACTTTTTGAAAAAGCAACAACTGAGATTCTTGCCTTTTTTTTGGCTAAAATTGCATTCCTTATAAATGATAGAATCATAAAAAAAACTACACTCGAGAACATTGAATCCCGGTTGCTTAAAAAAACCTATAAATCTCGGATAATAAGAATGCTAGCTTAATGAAATAAATTGTGTTTAGTAGACAATTAAATATTTCAAACATTCAAAGATAAAATTACGAAATTACTGTATTTGATTTTGCTTTTATTTCTAATCTGTCATTTAATATGTCAGCATAAAAATCATATCTAAAATGTACAAATCATATCTAACTTAGACTAGTAAGTCAATTTTGAAATTTTGAGTACCCCTTTTGGCCCCCTGGCAAAGAATTTTTTTTTAAATTATTTCCAGTGGGATATGTATGGGCCAATATTATGTAAATTGTTCAAAATTTCAAATTTATGACATTGGTAATTGGTCTGTTAAAGCATACCGAACTAGATATGGGATTCAACTTTTTTTCTTGCGTCAACTCTGTAAGTCAAGCGCACCCTATTAAGCCGACTTATTGAATTAACTCAAAATTGCGCCGCGGTACACAGGATAACACGTATCGCTGTACTGTATTCCTTGATATGCGCCAAAACTAAGCGACAAATAAAAAAGATGTCCGTTGCTCTAGTTCTACTCGAAATTTTCCTTCGACATACCCATGTCGAAACTCAAAATTCAAAATCTCATAATAACCCTGTGGCGCATAGAATAACCTATATCATTGTACTATATTTTTCATCGTGTATTAAAACAAAGATCCCTCGCTCTACCTCTACTCTTAGTTTTTTTTACACTCATTCATATATTTTAGTGTCCAAAAAGACTAGTCAAGTCAAGTCCAAAAAATTATTCTAATTTACCCTAAGCCCCTTTCACTTTTCTCAGGACTTCGCTGTGTGCAACTCATTTTAAAGAAGTGTGTTGATACATTCAGCGCAGCGAAGTGAGTTATAACAAATTCTTTTTTAATGATATTAAAATGCTAGTCCCGCCTTTTTTTTTTGTCCAGGGGAAATGCTCATGCAGACCCACATACCTCGGGGGAGATTTATGGGTACTGCCAGACTCTTACCGGTTAAAACCCCCCTAATGCCCAGTTCCCAGCGTGCCTCCTCCGGGCCGTGTTGATGATGGGGTGACAGCTGCCCCTGCAGCTGCCGCCCCTGGCAAATGCGGTGAAGTAGGACCTCCTCCTCGGTCCTGCCTTCTTTGCCTATGTCACCTCCTCCCGCCTGGCCACCGTGTGCAGGTACTTACTGAAGTAGTCATGCCCGGTAAGCACCTGCGTCAGTCGGAAGGTGATAGGACCCCGTCTGCGCCTCTTCAGCCAGTCCTTAAGGACGGACCCAATCACCTCCACAGTTCTGGCGCCGGCGCAGGGTAGGACCAGTCTCTCTTGCCACTCCTCTACTAGGCGACGTTGTTCGAGGTGTTTGCGCACACCCACCTCCCTGATAGTCGAGAGGCTACCTCAATTACGCCAATGCACCCGCAAATGATAAAGGGCCGCCTGTACCTTGGCCTCGAGATCCCAGGGAGGGAATCCCGCGACCAGGCACGCCGCTTCGCCGGACACGGTCCGGTACCCCCTGATGGCTCTAATGGCCATCGCCCGATGAGGGCGTCGCAGTTTCGCCTGGTTCTCGCTATTTAGATCGCCGGACCAAATGGGGGCGATGGTAACCCCGCTTGCGCTAACAGTATACGCTGGTGAAGCACCAGTGAGGCACGATAAGTGAGAATGAAAAGGCAAGTAAGTTACCCCATCGTGATGAATAGAATTGGAATTCAACACGATGGTTTCTAGGACGGACCACGTGCAGGTCGACCTAATAGGGTATATTGCTAGCAATGGGGCTGATAATCCGCATTACTAAGAATTCTGTGATCGGAAGGGCGACCACCCGTCCCGTGGTGGTATCGGATTTACCGTCGGTTAGTTCCTCGTTAATAATATATTAAAGATCGAAAGTGTGTCGGCAAGGGTAGTATACCTGGAACTCGGTATTACCAATAGGTATTCGCTGAAAATTATACAAGTATATGCGCCGACCGTGATACACGCCTAAGATGATTAGAAGTAATGTATGACGATACATTCCTCTAATACTCAATACATAGTATTTATAGGGGACTTCAACGCTAAACTGATCAAAATGTAAAACGATGGGCGAGAATGGGGAACTTTGATATCGAGCAATGAAATCCTAGGGAACAGCAATTGTCTAATTTCATAAAGAAAGAGGGACTCTTTTTAATGACCTCCTTCTTTTAAAAGCGATTACGTAGTAAATGGACCTGGGCTACTCCCGACGGATGCACGAAAAAAGAAACAAACTTCATCATGACGACTAAGCCAGTTGTTCAATGATATCTCAATGATCAACAAGTTGAAAATCGGAAATTATCATCGAATGGTAAAAGTCTACAAAGTCTACGCCAAAATATACGTATCTTAATAGGCAAAATTTCAAGTGTATACGACGTGACATATACCAGTACTGCATACATTGAACAGGCAATAGAGCAGAATTAAGAATAGAATAGAATAGAATAGAATAGAAATCATTTATTCAAATAAACTTACATTGAAGCACTTTTGAAAAGTCATTACATTTTTTTTTAATTTACCGCTCGTTCGGAAAGCTGTCTCATCACAAGAAGAACGAGCAAGAAACTTGCGTGATGCTCTTTTAAATAATTTTATTATTATTTTACATTTTTAAGTTTAATTGTGTGAATACAAACCACCAATTAGCACTAATTCAATTAAATACTCAAAAAGAAAAAAAAATTGAATACATAACCAACTGGTTAAACAATTAATAAGAGGAAATCAGTCATAGTGATTAGAGCAGACCAGTCCCTACAAGCAGCACCCGTTCACGAGTATGACGGATGAGCCAGCCATCACTGCGCTCGACCATATTTTAGGGAGCCCAATGACCCGGCCCACCACGCCGCCACAAGTCTGGACATTTTAGTGAGCATGACTACTCAAAACACTAGACCACGTCAAAGCTACTCACAATTGCCATCTGATAGTTATAGTATTCACATTTTACATAAGAATGCATGCGGCAATTAATACAAAAAACCGCTACGCTTTCATATTTCTAAAATTAATCAATTAAATCAAGAAAGCAATGAGAAAAAAAAATTATAACGTTGTATGATAATAAACTAATTATTTACTTGATATGTTGTCATCTATGAATTCGTCTATCCTGTAATAGGCTTTCTTACATAAAAATTGTTTAATATAAGATTTGAATTGCCTCTCTGTCAGATTTAATGCAGATTCCGGCAGTTTATTATAAAATCTTATGCAATTACCATAGAATGAATTACTGATTTTGTGCAGACGGCATTTAGGTAAAATAAGCTTATTTATATTGCGTAAGTTTCTACTTGTACAGTCTTTGAGTTTTTTAAAACTCGCTAAGTTCTTCCGTGTATACATAATATTTTCATAAATGTATTGTGAAGTAACTGTGAGGATATTTGAGTCTTTAAAGCACTGACGTAATGACTCTCTTGAACCCATACCATAAATAGAACGTATGGCTCTCTTTTGTAAAACAAATATAGTATTTATATCGGCTGCTTTACCCCACAGCAGTATGCCATAAGACATTATGCTATGGAAATAACTAAAATATACAAGTTTAGCCGTCGCCACGTCTGTTAATTGCCTAATTCTTCTAATTGCATATGCAGCAGAACTGAGTCTACTGGCCAATTTTGAAATATGGGGCCCCCATTGTAATTTCGAGTCCACTGTTATACCTAAAAAAACTGTATCATTAACAAAATTTACTATTTCGTCATTAAGCAATAACTGTGTATTTATTAGTCTTACATTAGGAAGTGTAAATTTTATACACTTTGTTTTGCTGGAATTTAATAATAGGTTATTACATGTAAACCAATTTAATATTGCAGACATAGCACAATTTACATCGTCTAATTGATTACTTTGACGTCCAATTTTAAACACTAACGAAGTATCATCCGCAAACAGCACTATATCTGCAATTTTCTCTACCATAAAGGGAAGGTCATTTATGTAGATTTAAGATTGACCCTTGTGGAACGCCCATCTTAATATTAGCTCCCTTAGATTTTACACCGTCAATATCTACAGTTTGAACCCTATCCTCTAAATAAGTTCTCATTAATTTTAGATCATTATCTCTTATACCATAATGTTCGAGCTTGTACAAAAGCGTTTTATGATCCACACAATCAAATGCCTTTGATAGGTCACAAAAAAC